GTTTTCATGAAACTCCTCCTTCCACTTCTGCACGATACTCGAAGGTTCTCCTGAAATGAAATCATTACCGTTGAATAATCGACTCCGGATGCTCTCAGTTCATCAGCTTCCTTAGAATCATTGCGAGTACTAATGTAGCATAATGACCGATTTTTAAGGATTCATGCCCATTTCTTCGACTCATATCAAACAAAATTCATTCTTGTCAAGTTGATCTTTAAATGAAAATTTGACCTCTCTTCAAACATACCTGTTTTCTTTATTTCAGGCACATTTTTCGGTAGTGTTATGAATCCCTCATCTAAGACCTCATCGTCAACATCAACCTTCATTGCAGGTTTCACTTGTAATGTGTCTGCAATTATTTCACATTCACCTATTTGAAGGCCATAAACTTGTGAAACTCGGATCTAAAATCCTTCTGAACTGTATAATTCAAGCGCATTGGATACGTCTTGAATAAAATTATTCGTTAATACGTTTTGAATACTTTGGCAGTTACATCTTTAAACCCCTTAAGTGGTCGATCAAATTACCAACTATGAAATGAAATCCGAAATTAACTTACCTGAACCACTGAAGTCATGTCCCGATGCTTCTTTGGTTTCCACAGCCACTTTAGCTCCCACCGAGTGATCTACTACTACGAGCCCATGGCCTCCTGATCCTTCCTCAGTGTCAATTTTGAACTCTAGTTTGCCTATTTGATCCGAACCATCAAGTTCATCTCCTGATGCTTCTTCGGTTTCCACGGCCATTTTGGCTCCCACCGAGTGGTCTACTACTACGAGCCCATGGCCTCCTGATCCTTCCTCAGTGTCAATTTTGAACTCTGGTTTGCCTATTTGATCCGAACCGTCAAGTTCATCTCCTGATGCTTCAGCGCTTTCGATGTTTGAATCGAGTTCAGCCTCCTCGTTTCTAGCGTACGATTGCTCATTCACTGATAGTTTATTCTGACCGTACCCACTCCCTTCTAAATCTGCAAGTCATATGAGCATATTATGTGAACAGAGTCACGTCTGTTCGTGAACAGAAGTTCAGACAACTCTGAAGAATGTTATTGACGACACTGCGTAACGAGTACTGGTTCCTGACATAATCAGTCAATTATCTTGAGCAAGTTTCTTACGAGTCAACTATCTTATATCATTGAGCAAATTCACTTCTCGAATTGTTATATTTTGGTAAAATTGATCAGTAGAACTGATAAGAGCGAAAAATGAAAATTGAAGTGCGATTTACCGCTATCACCATTGACATCAGTGCTTGTCACCACTGAGTTTTGCCCGTTCAGAGGCTCGTTCGCTTCCTTTTTCATGCCTCCCAACCGACTCTGGTCACGTACTCCTTCAGAGAGGTATTCACCACTCGCTTCGGCTGTTTCATATTCACTCGAATCTATGATATATGCAAACATTTCAGATTCTTCATCTCCAAGCATATCACTTTGAATACGATAAGTAATTTGCAGTCATATGATAGTTTGTGGTTGGTGAATATCTATGAAATAGGCGTCAACCTGTATCGATTCCTGATGCCTCTGTTGTTGACTGCTCCACGTTCGATATCTCATTCACATCTTCTTTGAGCACATATTTACTTGCCTCCGATTCTAAAAAACATTCAAATGTGGATTATCAATAAATCCGATGTTATGGTTAACAATCTTTAATGTTTTGTTTTTTAATTTCTCACATATGACTTGTAAATCAGAAAAACTGGTGCATATTCAATTATGAGCAGCGTTTTAGATGAGTCAGAACATCGTTCGTCGGATAATAAAACCATTAAATCGAATCGAACGAACCGTTATTATTGTCATCAACATCGGTGATCAATTTCTCCATGCTCACCGTAGATGGAACTGTGTCGGCAGTTATATCCTCCGGGTCATTGCCACTTGCTTCCTCCATATCTAAAGAGGAAACTAATCAGGTTACGCCATTTGATGGACAATTAATTTCGGAGAAGGACAATTTCCGAGTAAATATGCAATAGCGAATGAACGAAGATTTGATCACTCGATCATAAGTTCATTTAAAACCAATCGCTGTAGTGATCGCAATTTTGGACGCTCGTTTTTTCAGATCACCAATGGTTCCACTCGTACAAAGTCAATCAAATGATATGCAGAAATATGCTCATGAACTTGAACCCCACTGGTATTTTAAGTTTACGCTTCAAAAGTATTTGTTTATGATTCAGGGAGCTATTGATCTTCTCATGGATCATTTCGAAAAAAAAAGGTCAATAAAGACGACCAGTATCAATTTTTGTTGAACTTGCAAGCGATTGCTTCACGTTTTGAAGAGGAATGATCTCGTCGATGCTGTCATACCCACTGGCTTCTGTATGAGCCTCAACTGCGGAAGACTCTTCGGCTTTTGTAGCTACGCTTATAACCTCTCCAGAATCAGTCTCCAAGTCAAGTCCGCTCGCTTCTATATCTACAACGGGAAACATCAGCCGAGTGCAAGGAAGATTAGAACATGGTATGCAAGCATGCATATATCATGTGGAATGAAAGCATCCGGTGAGGGCTCACATAAGTTTCACTACCTTCGTCTTTAGACGTGTGAGCATCAATGACATGGTCTGCGCGTGCTGAAGAGACTGCGCTCTCGGATACTTTGACATGTGTGATTGAGAGTGGTTTTTTGAGTTCAGATACTACAGGAAGCAGGGAATCGTCTTCGAGCTGTTGTGTTGCGCTAGAGCCGTCTTTCTCGTCTTCAGATGCAGCCAACTCATTATTGAGCGCTTCCATGACAGCCATCTAAGAAAGAATACGATAATTGCTTGTTAGCTGGAAACAACTCCAGGAGCCCCAATGGCTCAGCTTATCTCAGTAATGACTAACAATAAGGAAAAGATTGAAATTGTTTGTGTTTGGAGAGCAAAATTTTTGATTGTTTATGATAGATAAATAGTTTTGAATTGATGCTAATGATCAAAATTGCACTGCAAAACACATTCAGTGATCGTTCACCAACTGATTGATCAACACCTAACGTACCTCATTCTTCAACCAATGAGGTTCAGCAACTCCCACGGGTACAACATGATGTGTAAGATAGCTGAAAACATGCGTGAATGTCACTTATTTCATTGGAAGCTGTCGACAATTTGATTGGATTCCAGAAACAATGGAAGAAAGCTTTCGGAAAATTCCGCTTATGAAACTGCAATCTAGCTGATGAGCTAGAATTCGGAAATTCAGATTTGAACCAAAATCCAAGCACTTACAAGCGTTTAAAAATTGCTGTTTCGAACATCTGTTGAATTGGAATTGACTTTTTTGTCACACAAACAACAGCACAACCGGTGAAGGATCTGTATGGATGCGACCAACTGAAAACTGAATGAAATACTCTCGAAAGACCAAGCACGATTATTACAAAGTACTCTGTTTGAGCAGAAGGTAATCACTACGTCGACCACACTTTCCCAACGAGTCACGTGCGATTTTAACAACCGTTAAGTATTCTTTGAGATGTTTGCAAATGAGACATTCATAAAAATGAAACATTTGATTAAGCAATAAAGCCAGATTCAGTAGGTGCAATCGACTTTATCCACAAACCTGCATACTTTATTGCAGTATTCATCAGGGGCACAGTCCGAATCGGAACTACAACTAACAACCAAATTGGGTATCGTATGCAGAGCTGAAACAGCAAAAAAAAATTCAAAATCGTTAAGAATGTGAAAAGCAATCGTTGAAAAGGTCTTCGGTAGGTAACCGTTTGAAAGGCATTAGCTCACCTGCATCTGGTATAGGTTGATGAGCTCCAACTGAAAAAGTAGTAAATAATGCGATTAGTAAGTTGAACAGTACATAACGGAAGGCCATGTCTGAAAGCAGTCGATTCATTGAATCCGAACCTAAGACGTAGGAGATTTTTAGCTTTAGGCTAAACATATCGTAGCATTCTTCACTTCAGCAAAAAAAAACATTAGATCAAGAAAGCGCAAGTAGAACAAATTGAATTCCAGTGATGAAGAGAATCAATCTCTTTAGCAGAATTTAAATGAGACTTATGAAGATTATGTGTTCTGAAGGAGTTTGCCGCACTGAAAAGAGATTGCTACAAAAAAAAGTTTGAAGTGAAACGAAAACGATCTTGAAATTACGAAGAAATCTTAGGTGTAAGAAACACCCTCATCCCTTAGTTTCTTCGTCGTTGAACGCCACTCACCACAGTCTATCTCAACAACAATTCCATGACTTGTTCATGTATTATTCAACAACTCATAAACATGCAATTTTGTTTACAAGACGCCCATCAACCATAATTGATTATCGTCATTAAAGAGATTCGCCTATCACTCTCTACATAATCACTCAAGCCAGCTCTCTATTCTAATTCTAGTACTGTAGAATATTTTAAGGTACTTTTGGGTACCGTAGGATTTCGGTATTTTGGGGCTGTTTCCGCGTTTATTTGCAATAACACTAAATTGTATTTTCGAAAAATAAACTATTAATATCATTGAAACACAAAATGCAGGAGATCCTCCTTGTAGTAAATACGGAAGTTCCATTTCATCATCCGTACCGATAGGGCATTACAAGATGATTATCCAAGCACGAAAGGAATAAGATGGTCATCCAACACTACATACAAATATTCCATTTCATCATACATATGTTATATCCGTGTATATTTATCCTATCTTATACATATACAGCTAAAATACAGAGCTAAAGATTGATTCATATATCACTTTGGTTTCCCCCGTGAATCGTATCGTTCACGCTCCGTCACGACAGATTGTGTAGGATTCTGATGAGGCTTGCATTCATCTTTTCAACTGGTATGTGAAAATGTTTTTAGAAAGAGTCTTTTTTCAAATGGAATGGATTGTTGTTTGTCATATAATAGTGCGTAAGCTTAATGATCGCAGCCATATCATGCATAATCACAAATTAACGGTCATTTTGTCGCAGTCCTAGACAGTGATGCATTTGCTGGAATCAAGTTTTGAAAATTTAACTTTTCTGAGTATTCTACGGAAATCTTCTTATAGATAATTGATTCGGTCATACGCGCGCAATGATTTTCATATTCGGTGATGTTAATTAGTTTTGCGATCAGAACATATGTTCAACACAGAAAATGAGTAATGAGTGACCTTCACGATTCATATGTAATGACTTCAGGGTCATTAATTTTCAATTAACAATTAAAATTCCATCAGCAACAGTTTTGAACCACTGCTCATTATTTAACTTCTGCAGTGAAGCAATAAAAAGCAAAAACTCAGAAGATTCCGTCAGCAAACTCGGATGACCGCTATTTGAGATTGGCATCACCTAACTGATCACCCCACTTATAACCTTTGATCTACGCAATATGGATTATGTAATCGAATTTCCTCACTTGAATTTTCAGAAAGAAGCGTTGAGGTTCATCTGCAAAAAACATGAATGTCTTCAAACGTGCTAGCCTCTAACATTGCTTCTTCGGACAAGTAAATGGTTGAGAACATACCGGATTATCAAGGAAACATCAGATATCGTTATACTAACTGAATTGTATGTTTTCACGGAAGCTGACCCACTTCAATCCATTTGTTACTCAATATTGATGATTGTTTGAACGTGATCCAATGTGTTGGTAACGTTGTAGTTTCATTCTAATTTCATTCATATGATCAGTCACTGAAATTTATCGAATACAAATTCGTTTTTGTGCGACCAGTTTGCAATGTGTACAGCAGACATGGCCATCGAAACATAATGACACTCGACTAATTACCTTGAGCTCTAATTATGATGGGCACATCAACAACAATTCCTTCACAATCGTCATTCAATTAATCTCATACTCAGTCCGCAGCGCGCACGTAAAACATTCAATCACCATTGAACATACTCGAAACATGTTGCATTCATGCTCACATTTTCAATCATCTACAATGATTCCAGTGAAAAGTGAAATGAAGAAGATGTACAAGATTCTTATCTGATTTGATTAATGCTCCATTCGGAATGATTATTCGTATTCGCAACGAATCACAATCGAATGATTGCTACTGAATGATTCATTGACAGTTGCTTTCGATGATTTGAATTAATCACGATTGATGCTAATTAATCGAAACTGACAACGAATAGATTGTATGGTGGAATATCCGACTTGCGGAAACAATGTCTATAAATGATCTTTCAAGGCCTTTCAATAGTCGACCGTTAATTATTGAATACGATACGGACAAAGCATCAATATTTTTTTCATATTTTTAAAATAGTAAAATGCTAACGATAAGAGTGCTAAATGTTAACTGCTCAATTTTTTCCGCATGAAAATATTTGTTCCGATGAAATTTGCATAAAACTCTGAAATAATCGAGCAGCTGAGCGGAATGGGAGCGAAGATGACTATCATTTTTATTGAATGCTGTAAATGAGGCTGTTGCTTCCTTTTTGGGAAGTACTTGTTGTGCGAAATTCAGCACTGCTTCAGCTGAAAACGGTACGTTGCTGGTTTTTTGTACGGGCATTTGAAACGGTTCTATTGATGCATCAGCCAATTTCTCGAGATGACTTTTGGTTTCGGAGGTGCTCATGAAGCTATATCAGATCAGATTGCATTCATTTCAATCGATCATTCGACAAATGGACAGTCTGAACTGAATCCTATAGCTGATCGATGTTCATTGATTGTAGTGCTGATCGAAGCAGTCGCCTTCACGACACTGTGTTTAATTATTGGAGTTTTCAGCGTTTACTAACAAACAATTTGAGTGATCAAGCCAAATTCCAAAAGGATCTTTCAAGCAAACTTAAATTTCAACTGAAGCAGCATGCAGATGATTTTTTTGACTTCGTCACAGAGTTGGTTTCTTTATCGCATTGGATTGCTTGACATTTCAGCTGAAAATCCGAACTGTTGAATAGGACAGCTGGGAAGCAGAGGACAATAACTGATTGTTTGAATGCTTTCAGAATATTTCAACTGAGTCGAAAAGATAAACGCAAGGCGACAGGATGTCGAAAATATACATTTCTTAAAGCGAAGGACTTAAGATTGAGGTTTATTCATGAATATGAGTTCCACTTCATGTCTAATGATTTTAACTTGAGTCAGCTGAAAAAATACGGAATTCTTGAGTATAGATGGCGCTGAATTAATGTTTGTGATTCATTCACATGAAATTTTCAATGATACGATCTTACAGCACATTGATACCGTTGCCTGGATGCGATTCATCACAAATTGCTTATGTTTTGTTTCAGCGTGATTCATTTTTCAATAATACTTATAAGGTTAGTTCCGTATTCAAACACATTTATTCAATTGTTCTGAAAACATGAGTATCCTAGTGTGTCATGTGACATTCAAAACCAAAAGCTTCCTTTTTCTGACCCTCAGATTACTCGATAGGAGGTTTATCCAAATCATACACCTAGTCCACATAATGCTGCCGCTCACATATATGAGTGCTTCATTCAGATGCTAGATTCGTTGGGCTGTTTAACACTTCATAATTTCGATCAACTGCAATATCGCCATTTCCGTATGATTGGATACGACGTGAATGATGAAATAGAGCTGCCACGATTTCGTAACGGTTATCATTTGATAATTTCAACAAATTTGTATATCGGAACCCTGATTTGTCACTTAATATCGGAACCCTGATTTATCACTTAATAATTTCAAGCTAACAACAAATTTGACTAAACAGTTGATCGATCAAATTTCAGAGCAAATATTCGCCAATATAATCGCAATGAATATCGATGATGAAGATGATGGTAGCATTGGTTGCGATAAGCTTCTAGGACATAACCGATGTAGTTGATTTAAAATGATTTGTTGTGATTACCGCTCGAACACACAACCATCACATTCAAATGAGTTCATCAGCAAGGCACTCATTTAGCTAGAGCTAGCCTTCTCATTCTCCTCTTCGTAGCATTTTTTCTTCAGATATCGAATTGCCAACCCCATAACTCTCCTCAAAGATCGTCAAATTTTCATCGTTGGGAGCTTTCCACATCTAATATCTTCGATAATGAACGCGGACAAAGTAAACTTTCTGTATCAGTCACTTATTGACAATGTCCTCAGGTTGAATACCTCCCCTATCGTTTCTTGTGTTTTTACTCCAGTGAAACCGAAGTTCATACGGTGTTGGATAAATTTCTGAAACAAAACATTTCACATCGAATATTTACCGTTTTCTTCGAATATTCCTTTTCGGCTGGATCATCTCCGAATCTTGTTCAGCAACCAATCTCTATCATATAAAATTGCCTCTTAATATGAAGTGCTCACTTTCGATATGTTAATTGCAACACTGAATGATAATTGCAACACATCACCACACATGTGTATCAAACTTGAACTATTGTCGTACTTTTTATAAATTATCACAGAGTACTTAAATAAATTATCGCAGAGTTAACTTAAATAAACTATCGAAATGATCACATTCATCGGATTAACAGTGCGATCACACGAAGGGATTACCACCTCCATCATAGCGGATAAAATCACCTATTTGGAAACAAGCAATTCATGAATAAATATTTAAGAAATGCTCAATGATACATTCATTCGGAATGCACAAACAAGTTGTGTTTTAATAGAAAGCGTTTGAATCTTCTGCGAAAACGCGATTGAAAAATCAAACGGTGAAGTGGCACTCAAATGGCTCGTTCGTAATTCTCTACTACTATTAGCAACAGCAGCTCATCATCCACTCTCTTATATTCTCATCGGTCATCGTTTCGCATTAGTTGCTCCTTCAGAATCCAGTTTTCGAGTGATCTACGATGCAATCAACTCGTTGCGATTTTGTTTACTCAAACACTCTTCATGTTGTTTCTTCAATCAGTTCACCATAAGCATCAATTAAAAACTTCAACAACAATGAACACAAATTTGGACATATGAACAACTCACTCGGCGAACCAATGCAATATGAAACTTTATACAATCTGTACAATCGAATAAAGAATTCAGTTGAGTTTCGAAAATAAATCACATATTATGTCAACGGGATAGTCTTCAAGTAATCCGGATCAGTAGCGATAATTTTCGCGATGAAAAATGCATGCATCGTATAGACAATTGCCAGCACCTCATCGCTCTCGATATCCTCAAACGAAACAACTTCGTTAATGAGCATGCCGTTATCATATCAATTCAGAGTTCAGTGATCAAAAATCCGCATTTGAGAAAAATTTTTATGAGGAGGGAATAGTTTATGTCAGCAGCTGAAGCAATGATGACATATGGTCACACTGATCGTGAAATCTACGATGTCATCGATGAAAATCATCTTGAAAAAGCGCTCACCTTCGTTATGACTCCACTGTTTGGTTGGTTTTTGTCGTCACGAAAAACGAGTCGCAGCAGAATTTTGCCATCATCTGTGGATGAATCCAGATCACTGAATCGATACTGCCAAGTGTAACGCTGCAATTACGTGGAAATGTTTTATGCTTCAGAATGATGCCTACGAATATCATCACATCAACCGATTACGTTTGCATTCAGTGGATCAAAATGCTACGAATAACTGTCATTGTCACAGTAGTCAACGGTGATTGCAGACAACCAAGCGATTGATCTCGCATTGTCAAAACTGCACTCTAAAGGGTAACTGAACAACAAATTGCGCTACTGCGATCAGGAAGTCAAATATGGGAGTAGAATATGAGGGGGAGAAAGCATTTTGGTAAGGAACCTTTGTTGGAATATCGTAGAGACTAATGCCTTGTTTGATGTCGAGTACGAGGCCACACGGACGACCCTCGTGGCTGCATGCAAAAGTTCTGGTCTGCAAATAAACTTTCATTCAAGAATTGCCGAAACAATCGAATATTTCAAGCGAATGCATTCGCTTATTTAAGATATAACACGCTGACGATTGTCAAAATGTAAATTGTGCAGTGGGAATTGAAAAAATATGCAACCGACTTGAAGATTATAAACCGTAGCGTGTAAGCAACGGTGATAGGCGCTCTCGAACTGGCTGAACTGTTGCGTGGTTTCGGTCGACATATAATGCTTGATATTATTCACTGAGGTCTCCAACCAAAACGCATGATCCCTCTTGTCCAGTGCCGGCTTAACCTTTTCGACCACTTTAAATGCGGTATCGTAGACTTTATACAGGGAAACACACTTGTTCAAGTCCTCTGAGTTTAGCTGAAATAACGCGAAAACCACTCAAACGCTTGAAGCAATCTTAAGGAGCCACTCAAATAAAATCACTGTCGTCATGAGCATCATTAAAGATTATGATTATCACATTATGACTATTGCCTTACAATCGCTACATTTGATCTGCACAAGTAAATAATTGAACTGCAGCCGATCATCCAATTTTCAATTGTTAAAGTATTTAAAGACATTAGAAATGTTCAAATAAAATTTGAATCACCATTCATCAAACAAATATATACATAATTATCTAAATATTGAACTGAGGGAATACATTCCATCGCAAAGCAAAGACAAAGAACAGGTACAACATACTGGTGGTGACTCGAAGATACACAGTTCGCCTCCTTTTAAAATGATGAATCGAGGTTCCCATCGCTGTTTCGGATCCTCAAAGTGCTCCTCCGGCAAGCGTTCACTCACCCAACCAATATAGGTTATCTGAGAAGCAGTACAGAAATCTCATACTGATGAAGCGTTTGACAATGAAAAATGGAAACATATTGAAGGAATTGTTGAACGACGATCACTCATCGAAGGCTTTGATTTGAAGCATCGAACCTGTTCACTTTTATGCAAGTATTTATTGGACATCTTGATGGATTTGAAGTTGAGTGAGGTGATATGGTTTTGAATGTGCTTAATCCACTGATCCAAAGCCTTCTTGTCCTCACAATGAATGATGCCGGTTGATGTGCCGTCTACGGCTCGAACTTCGAACGCGTTATTCCTCAATTAAACGCCATCAATTCACTATCGACATCTCAAGATTGAGGCACTCAAGGTTATTGCTGGCTCCGAATTTCAGTGATTATGCGGGTTTTCAAAATTTCTTTCAAAATGCTGATTAGCAGATTGTAACGTTTGAACATCATTTTGGAAATATTTTGACCAGATGCATATTCCATATATCGCAAAACATTACTGCTGGAATGTAGTTAGCCGAAAATGAGATCCATTCGTATTCATTATACCTGATTTTATCAGTTCCCCACAGGTATCTTGTAATGAAAGCCATCGGAAGAGGTATTTTTGCCAGAGTTTTCCATCCGTCCGGAGCGTCGTCTTCGAATCTGCTCTCCACACCCTCTGATTGTTTTCGGTCGCTGCGTTCACCAGGCATATTTTCCGAATGTGTTTTCAGCGCACTCTGAATGCATGAATGCTGCTTTTATGAACACTCGCATTATGCACGTACCATTTAGTACCATCCATTTTTGTAATAAACACCTCATAATACTACACTAAATTTTTGGAACACTATAAATATGCTGTAAGTGCTATAAATGTTACTCCAAATCTGATTCATAAAGAAAGCGAATGCTCAAAATGAACTGTTTTTATTATCGTCAATAAACTCCAATCTTATAGATGCGATAAAATTTCGGTGTTACATTTGCTTTTACATATTGAAAGCACTGAAAGGGAGTGATGAAAGAAGCATTTAATTGATGTTTTGATCAGCAACAATCAAATCGGTTTGTTGTTTCGTTACCTTCCACGTATTCGGTTCATAAAGTCGATCCAATGCACTACCACTCTTGCCTGGTCGAAGTGAAACGGCTGGACTGAAAGCTTATAGCCCAATTGAAAGACTAATCATCAACAAGCAGGAAACAAACATGATCTGAACGACTATTTGTCCAAAAGAGAAG